CTGGCGACCGGAGGCGACTTGGTGTGCCGGTGTGGGAGATGTTTGTCGCTTACTATTTGTTTCAGACCGCACTACTGGTATACATTTTCTTGTGGACAGTAGTGCGCAAATATCTTTAATTCCTTCCACTAGAGCAGATAAGTTAAAAGGCCCTCACAAACTTACCCTGCAGGCCGTGAATAAGTTGCTCATCCAGACTTATGGTCAGAGGTGCCTTATATTGAATTTGGGTCTGAGATGGGTTTTCACCTATTTCTTTGTCCTTGAGGATGTAGAGAAGGTCATATTGGGTGCAGATTTTTTACACAAATTTGGTCTTCTCATTGATGTTCACAGACGCTGTCTAAGACAAATATTCAATTGCCAGGAGCCATTCATAATGTAATTCCATTATGTCCAACTGTGGCTAACACAGAAGGTAACCCTATGTTCTGTGAACCTTTAAAAAAATTTGAGAGCATTACTAAACTGGCTTTTCACAAAGATAGTCTACCTCACAATATAACATACCACATTGCTACTAGCAGTCTTCCTGTTCACAGCCATCCTCGTTGTCTGGCACTGGAAAAATTGTGTGTGGCGAAAGTAGAATTTATCCAAATGATGGAACTTGGTATTATCTGGCCATGAAAGAGTAACTGGGCATCTTCCTTGCACCTGGTACCCAAAAAGTGGTGGTACCTGGCATGCTTGTGGTGATTATAGGGCACTCAACTCTGCCACTAAACCTGACCATTATCCCATTCCTCATATACATGATGTAATGGCTATCATTCAGGATAGGTGCATATTTACTAAATTAGACCATATCAGGGCCTACCATCAAATTCCAGTAGAACCCAAACACATTCCAAAGACTGCCATAACAACACCATTTGGGTTGTTTGAGTTTCTGCGTGTGCCATTTGGACTAAGAAACACAGCACAGTCTTTTCAAAGATTTATTGACCATATATTGCACGGTTTGCATTTTGTCTGTGCCTACGTGGATGATGTCCTTATAGCCAGTTCTTCCATGGAAGAACATATTAAACATTTACAGCTCGTTTTCGAGCGCTTTGAGAAATTTGGGGTTGTTATCAACCCAGTAAAGTGTGAGTTTGGAAAGTCTAAAGTTATTTTCCTAGGTCACCGCATTAATTCAGCTGGAATTTCACCTTCTCCATCTAAAGTGGCGGCCATTTCTGATTTCTCCATGCCAGTACCATGAGAAAGTTGCGACAGTTTTTAGGGATGGTGAACTTGTTTCGAAGGTTTCTGCCAAATTGTGCGCAGGTTATAAAACCTTTGACAGATATTCTAACTGATGTCAAAAATTGTGACAGTTTTGTCTGACGAAGCCTTGGCAGCCTTCCATCGAATTAAGGTTTTATTGTCCCAAGCAGTTGAATTGTCACATGTTGTCCCAGATAGCGAGTTGTGTTTGGCAGTTGACGCCTCTTCGATTGGTGTGGGTGCAGTACTACAGCAGAAGATCGATGACCACTTGAAACCAATTTCCTTCTTTTCCAAGAAACTAACTTCTACAGAATCCAGGTACAGCACATTTGGACGTGAACCTCTCGCAGCTTATTCAGCTGTCTGTTACTTTCGACATTTGTTGGAAGGGCGGACTTTCTACTTACTGTGAGACCACAAGCCTTTGTTGGGGGCTTTTCAGTCAAACTCTGACAAGTATTCCCCACATGAAACCAGACACTTGGATTATCTGTTACAATTCACTTCAGATATCCGTTTCGTCAAGGGAACGGACAATATACCTCGTCTTGTGGCATAAATGCTTTTGTGCTGGACCCGTGCTTGGAACATCAATCATTTGTGGAAGCACAGGAAAAGGATCAGCAACTACAGCATCTGCTACAAGAGAATCACACATCCTTGACGTTGTCGAGAATACATGTTCCAAACACAAAATTGGAAGTTGTATGTGACACCAGCACCGGATGATTGTGCCCTTTCGTGCCTGAGTCAATGCAGAAGACATTGTTCTCCTCCATGCACAATTTGTCCCACCCAGGAGCTAATGCCTCAATACGGCTAATCACAGACAGATTTGTTTAGCCATGCATGAAAACTGACATTTGGCAATGGTCAAAGACTTGTGTGCTGTGTCAGAGGGCCAAAGTGAGGAGACATACCCGTTCACCTCCTAGATCCTTTCCATCACCCGACAAGCGGTTTGCACATGTGCACATCACAGGACCACTCCCTTCATGTGAGGGACAGACATATCTATTGACATGTATTGATTGTTTCTCCCATTTGTGTGAGGCTCTTCCCATGTCGAACATTACGGCACATACCACAGCAAAGACTTTTGTTTCAGGGTGGGTTTCCCGTTTCGGGGTCCCTGCTGTAATTACTACAAACAGAGGGCAGCAATTCGAGTCAGACCTGCTCAACCAGCTGATGAGGTTCTTGGGAAGTAAAAGAATCAAAACCACTGATTATCATCCTGAGGTTAATGGCTTATTGGAACGGTTTTATCGTACACTTAAATCAGCTTTAAGGGTCGTGATGGATCAGGCAAATTGGCTGGAGCATCTACTGTTGGTTCTTCTGGGATTCCACTCTGAGGTTAAAGATGATCTTAAATGTTCATCTGCTGAGATAGTTTATGGCACCACACTCAGACTCCCAGGACATTTTTTTTTGCAACCTCCACAAAAAGTTTTGAACTTGACTTACCGTGAGAATGGCGAACTTAGCATATAAGTCTTCTGCACAGGTTCAAAGTCAGATATATGTGCCTAAACTACTGCAGACATGCACACATTTTGTGCAGGACTTGGCTAAGTTCCACAGATTGCAGCCATCCTACGGGGGACCCTTCAAAGTCCTTGAGAGACATTCGAAATATTTTATGGTGAGCGTTAACAATGCAACACAAAGCATTACTACGGACAGATTAAAGCCTGCCTTTTTGGACACTACCTGGCTCAGCATGGACACTTCAGTGACTCCTCTATCACCAGTAGCACCAGAGGTAGTAAAAGAGACTGTGACCAGATCTGGTCGTCATGTTAGATGGCCCAAACTTTTATTGACATAAGTCATTTTCAGGTTTTGGTTTCAGCAGAACCATAACTAGAGAATATTCCTCCCTCCACATCAAACTCTTCCTTTTTCATTCAATTGCAAAACCATTTTTCTTTAAATTTGTAATACATGTTGTGAAGTTTTGATTTTGTTACATTTTAGTTGTACCTCTGGTGCAGGTTAATGAACCTGTCTAGGGAGGGGGTACGTGTAGGGAGACCACAGTTGTTTTCCCTTGGGTTGAGCTCATGGGAGTTTTGGCCCCTTTAGAGAGTAGAACTCTTCTGTCTTTTTGTCTTTGCTTCTGTTTTTTGGAGGAACGGCCTTTTTACCTTCCTGACCACCAGGGTGTCCACACACATGGAAACTGGTCAACATGTGCACGGCCTAGCGAAAAAAAAAAGTCATTTCCATACACTTATCTGCTGACTATCAAAGGCCATATAGCTGGTATGTTATTTTTTTCTCGTTCTGTAAACCTCTTTGTTCCTCTGGCACAATATGGACAATCATTTGTTTTGGGACATATGTAAATCTTTTTATGTACGTAAGTTGTTTGCCTTATTAAATGTTTTGTTTGTTATGCCCACATATTTTGTCTTTCTATATTTGTATTCAGTGTTAGTGTATCAATGGCTACACTAATGCTAATATTAGTATCGGTGTGCTACAGGAAGGCTAAAACACATTATTCTTCCTAACACAAAGTTGGTAAACTCTGCGTGGCAGATACCACCATACTAATAATACTTTCTCACTCAGTTCTATTCAACGGAATTTACTCTTTGGTAAACATCTTTTAACAGCAAGATTTATTGTATTTATTTTCACAATACACAAACTAAATTTAATTTAGTACAAAACAAACTTCTTGAAATATCAAGTGATAATTTAAAGTTTCTTTTTACCAAACACATTCTCACAATATTCATATTACTGGTTACACAAAAATCTTTCACAACATTTCTTCTAAAAACAAATTTTTCATTGTGAGGCTAGATAAAAAAATTCTTTCTTTCAAAGAAAAAGTTTTCAAATTCATAGTTAAGGGTGAACAACTCTTATTTTCTGTAAATTTTGTACCAAAAACGCTGTTTTAAAGGAACATTATAAACTAAAGTATTTTAATTTGCTCAATTAACATTACTGAACTTTGAAATTCAGCATAGCTCAGCTAAATATTCTGAGCAGTTTATTCTTAATAATTTGTATTATTCCTATATAGATATTGTTTTACAACATTTTCATCTTTTCTATTGCCTTAGCCTTGTGCCATAAAGTTAAATGATTGTGGAGAAGTGACATTTTATACACGCATCCGACCTATAGCTTTGATTAATTTTTAAATTTATTTAACCTTCACCTCCGTAACAATTTTTCATCATTGCATTGTTACGTCTGTTTATGTACGTTGGGTTAAAAAGTCTGCTTTATTCTGGACAGCACCTTGAATAATTAGTAATCGCTGCCACGATCTTATACGAGTTTAGCCCTCACAACCAAACGCTTTCAGCGCTACATAATCAACTGCTCCTGTGAAAGTCAGCTCCCTTAACAAGTGCATTTCATCAAAATGAAAATTCCTTCCAAACATTAAAAATTAGTTTTGAAATACAGCAAAGTATGTTACTTACTGGAAATAAATTTAATCTATTAGCTTGAAATTAAAAATGAAATAAAACCTTCAAAAAAGATTTTTCATTTTAAAAAATCCATTTTAAACCTTAAGTATCGCGAATCTTTGTCGGTGCCTAGCTGTGTATAGTGTAAAGTAAAAAAAGAAAGAAAAAAAAAGCCTTTTGGCCTTTCCTCTTAGTCTCCTCAATCAATAATAACAAATATTTTTTTGACGATAAACCTTTTTTTTTTAAGTTTGGGGGCATTTTTTCATCACGTATGATCTTTTTTCACTTCTGCGAACCTTTAGAGAGGTACCTATGATAAATTCTTTTGAAACCTACCGAATTCTTTTAAATACAGCATCCAAATCTTTCTTCATCTCGTACAGAAGTAACGTGTCTTTCTTAAACTTGTGACAGGTGGCTTCGTAGCGCGATGAGGACAGCAGGTTAAAGTTTATCAGCATTTCATTGGTTTTTTCATAACGCGATAGCCTGAAAGAAAACAACAAATACTTCAATTCTAAAAATTCATTATAATTGTACGGTGTCCGCAAAAACCCGTTTCGGTTTATAAACAATAAGTTCAATTCTAAAAGAAGTTACCCTAAAAAGAAGACTCGGATAAAGTAATTTTTTTTTCTTTTTTTATTAAATAAAATCGGTTGGCTAACAAACACGAAGAGGACATTGTTATTAATTCAGTAAAAAAAAGAAAGAAAACGCAAGAGATTATTTTGAAATGCGTGCCCAAAGCCGAATTAATGTCTGAATGGTTTCAATCTAACTAATAAAGAAGTAGTACTTCTTCTGTTGCAGGTTGAACATAAAAACAATCTTTGTTGAATTTTACGGTCATTTTGATGAGACTTTGATATTCACTTCGATCGATTTTGTGATTTCCACAAGTCGTCCAAATTATATCTGCATCATTACTCGAACTTATTCCCTACAAAAAGCTAAATTCACGCGAACTGAATATTTTTTTTTTTTAAAAAAAAAAAAAAAGGTCTTACGAATAAATCAAAGTACAAACTTACAATTTTTTACAAGGTTTGGAAATTACACACAGTATTTTTTAATTGTAAAAATAAAATCGATGAAAAAAAAACCTTCAGATTGAAATTTTGGTTATTTAGATGACAAAATTACCAAACTGCGAAGACCGGTTAAAAAAAAAATGGATGGATGGACTTGATTACAATGTATTGTTTATAAACCGAAACTGGTTGTTGCGGACACCGTACAATTACTCGGGGTTAAAAAACGAAAATCTAAATTTTTCTTACTCACTAACATTCAGTATCTTTTATGATTTTTAGCATCAATATCTAAATGTTTTTTTTGTTTTGTTTTTTTTTTTACGAATCTACAAATAATTTTTTCAATAACTGAGTAAAGAATATTCTTTTAATAATTTTAAAAGTTAAAAAAAAAAAAAAAAAAAAGACTAATTAAGAAGACGCACTGAATTAAGAAAATAATTTTTTTTTGCATGTTGTTCATTTCATTTATTACATCATATTTAATATTTTGATAACAAAGTTTTTCCCGGTCACCAAATTATACATACATTTCCTTCTGTGTTTGAACCATGCAACTCACATCTTCTTTGTTAATTTGACAAGTGAGAGCCTTTGTAAAAGCAGTGGCGTAGTCTTCACCTGAAAAAGACCTGATATTATTGTCCGACATTTCCTCAAATATATCAGTAGTTATCTGCCCCTGGTAATAATGTAATTGCTTTTTTTCCCCTCTCTCTTTCTTAAACACACCATACGCGTATCCTACTAAAAAAAAGTACTTTTTAGATTTTTGAATGATGGAGAAAAATAAAATAAAATTTATAAACTATAGGAATTGCTCTACTTAGTTAACATAAACGTAAAATTCTCATAATTATGATATTATCCATTGTTACATGTATACATGGATAACCTGCTATGAGAATTTGCAAATTATTAACATTTTCAAGATTTATAAAAAATATTTTTTATCAAGTTTGAAATCAGAAAACGTATACATTTATCTTACCTTTTAAAATAACTGAATTTTAAATAAACCTTTTATTATTATGAGATATTTTAACACCACAATAAATGCAATTTTTTTCATCTCATTAGCAGCTAGCTCATTAGCCAGAATGATAATGGATTTTTAAAATCTCTAAAATTGGAAAAAATAAGTAAAAATTTTGAAAAAAAAATGTTACACCACTTCTCACAAAATTTTGAATTAGTTTATATACATTTAATTAATACCAGCTCTATTGCTCTTTTAAAAGGTTTATTGGGAGGAGAGGACCCCAAACCTCTTATATCTAGTATTTTGAATGGCACAAACAGAACAAATACAAGACTCTTACTCCAGTGTGTTATAACGAGCATATCGTAACAATGGAAAAAACAAACAAGGATTAAAATTACAGCAGCATATATTGATCAAGTATGAAGAATATATATTGTGGGTTATCCCACTCCACTTTGCTCTAGTGGGTAGGCCTTAAGCTTATAAAGGCATGCATTTATCTCAATAGTCTCTTTTCTCTTACAGCTCTGATTATAAGATGTAATCACACGTGGGGAAAAAAAGTATCCTCCACTGGGGCATGTTCATTTTCATGGTTTTTCTTTCTCTCTCTTGACTTTTGAACTCTTTCAAGTAGGCCTACACAAATTTCACACACACAGAAAATGCATATTCTTGTTATAGACAAGCGTATGGTTGCAAGAAGGAAATACGACAACAGCAGAAATAGATTTACGTGGTTTATTTCAACAGGAACGTGTGTGTTTGGGACAGCTACCTTGTGGTAAAGTTCGTAAGCCGGTTTCGGATCTAGGTCGATCTCTCATAGTAGTTCACACATGTTGACGGTGGTTGATGCTCTCCTGCTGCTGATCGCTCGGCCTGACCGTGACGGTCTGTTTGCGGCCACCTGTGGACTGCCCGTTGAACTTCCGTGTGACCCCTTTTATAGCGTTTTTTATGGCTTAACAGGCTCGAAAAACGATAATTAGGAGGGAAGCATCTTTATTGGACGAAAAATAGAGCACTTTAAATATTATTTTATTTTTCGACCGGAACACGTGTGTCGGGAACATTTGTAAAGAAAGATAATGGTCATTTTGTGACGGGGCTTTGTCCCGTTTACATCCGGTTCTCGCGTTTGAGTATTTGCCTGTAAATTAGCCGAGATATGTCTTATTTTATTTTATAACATTCTCTAGTTTTAAATGTTTTCTATGTAATTAGTCTTTAGATGTTTTCTTCTTTTATTGTAATTGTAATTTCTTTAGTCAGTACATGAAATTAGTTCTCATATGTTTTATATTGTTTTGTATTAATCATTTTTTTTGTGGAATAAATTTTCCAGGAGCTTGTAATTATTTACTCTCTAAACTCTGCAACATAATGGTGACTTTGTTAAGGAAAGAACTTAGGCGTAAGAGTGTTGTTAGTAAGACCAGGAGTTAACCAATTTGTTAAGTTGGTTGACCAAGGTCATGGTTAGTGTCAGGGGTGAGGCCTGATGAGGATTAATGAATTTTTTTTGTTGGTGGGGTGTTGTTAGCTCGTTTGACATACACCTTTATTATGATTAGGCCAAGGTGTTGAAGCTGTGCTATTTTTATATCTGTGGTTTAACAAGTTTAGGCTCCCAGGTACATCCTTTTTTTTTTTTCTTGAGGATAGGCATTTTAGATTTTGTAGTGATTTGTTTTGTGCACTAGATATGATGTTCAGAGTCCCTGAGAGGAAGACGATCTTTTTATTTTGATTTGCTTTCTTAGTGCTCACACCCGGCTGACATGAAATCAAAAGGAAATTTAATTACAGTGTGAAATTTGAAAAAAATTTACATTTATTAAATGACATAAAAAATAATAATAGCACAGAAGACAAATTTTACAAAACAAGCTTGCACAAAATCATCTTTTATGTGCCTAACACTGGGACAAGATCTAATTACAATTCTGTTGGCCTCATAAAAACAGTTACAATTATTATCAACAAAGTGTTCACTTGCTTTGATTCATTTACCTGTCAAAAAGTGTTGGGAAGGTTGACAATCCACAGGCATCACTGTATTAACCAGATATTGAACTCACACTCTTTGGGTTCTGTCACTGGATCTAACTAACGCCTTTATCCACTGTGCCATATGTCTTTGAGGTTAAGGTGGTGGAGAACTTGGAGAGGGGAATTAACAGGTGATAACTGACATCGTACGTGGAACTAGAACAGTCTACCCCAGTGAGCGAAATAAAGGGTTCAGTTTGACATTCCAACCACCTGAAGAAGGCCAGAGCATACAACGGCCGAAACGTTGTAATAAATATGGCGACAAATATGAGGACAATAGTCCGAATAATGTAAATAGTGTCAACAAGAAGGTTGTTGATCACCTCAATAGGAACAACTTTCTGAACGACAAACAATGATTTTTTATCAGCCCTTTATTTAAAGTAAAAGATTTCAAAATAAATTGCATGAAGGAAGAAAACTTTTAAGCTTATTAAATCAAATATTTATTAATTTTTTTTACTATAAACTAATTTTAACCATTAACAAATTTTAAAATTCAACATGAGCGGTGTTTGTATTCATGTATTTAAATAGAAAGACTGGTTTTTCTGTTTTATCTGTACCAAGATGGTTTCTCAGTTTGGAATGCACCAGTTCAATGCCAAAAGATGTGGGAATTGTTGACAGGAATTGCTTAACTGCAGAAAGTATATCACTGCTTAACACATGTGCATGTGAATCTCACCATTCAATAGCAGAGATCATCTTGCTTATGAAATCTGAAAATTTAAATGCATGGAAAGGGGAAGACCCCATAATAATGGAAACCAATATGGGATATTTCTCCCTGGCATATTCCATTGCAATATTAGCTTCCTCCTTGCTTAATGATTTTCCTTGAAAGGATGGACCATGTTGGCAAGAAGCTGAGCTTTTTCTACCAGTTATTTTTTCAAGAACTTTTCCAAAATTCATGAACAATTCTTTCCAAATACCCACTGCTTCAGTCTGTTATACTCCATTGCAATTATATCTCTTTCTGTTTCATTCTACATGCAGGCCAGATTTGAATGCCACGAAGGCAGAGAACAAAATAAGTTATTTTCTGCACATTAGGCTCCATGTATCACGTTCGGTCTACAAAGTGAGCTCCAGCAATGGCTAATCGTGAACCTTCCTGACAGAGAAAGTGATGCCTCTGGGGACTACCAGACCTGCTTAAAAGCAGGTCTTTGAGAACAACACCAGTCAGTTTCAGCCTGGTGTGATGGCCAATGGCATGCCAAGCACTACTGTTGCTGCCACTGTTGTCACCTTCACCACCATCACTCAACATGACCACACCTCTCAACGACCATTACTGCTCCCAAGCTTTACTAATCACCTTGGCTATCCAGTTTCGACTTGATAACATTTCAACTTCAACTCTTAATGCTCACATTCTATGTATCAACAAAGCCAGATTCATGAATTCTCCCAACTCTTAACACTCACATCTTATGCATCGGCAAAGTCAGATTCATGACTTCTCCAAACCCCTAATGTAACACTGTATCTTCAGCGCACTGGACCCACGCACTCTACCAGACGAGCTGTATGTCCATTATGGTCCAGTATGGTCCAGTATTACAGGTTAGACAAAAGTTTCCAGTTCCCAATGTCAATTCAAAGCCACCCTCCAGCTATGTTGTGATTTTTTTAATCCTGGAGAGTGGTCATCCAATCATAGAAATCCGGAAGCTCCCCGTTGGTCCACCTGTGAGTTTGATAGGTGAAAATCAGGTTAACAGAAGAATAAATAACCAAGTTAATTCGATTTTGAAAGGACAAAAGATTTTTTATACATAAAATCAAACACACAAAAAAATAATTCTTGTTGCACCAGGTTGAATGCTTCTGGTATATGAACAATAACCAAACAAATACAAATACTTTGAATAATTTTGGTAAAGGAGAGATGTCGCTTTCATTCTAACCCTTTTTGGTCTGTTCTTAGCATAACCTTTGATGTTCCCGTTTTCAGTAATCTTAATAGTAGTAGTAATATTAGTAGTAGCAGAAGTAGTGGTACTTAGATGTTAGGGAGGTATTTCGCTCTTCGCCTCCCATTCAGCAGCACACAGCGGACACTTTCTTTTCAATCTCTGATGTCACTCCCTCAGTTTGACTGCATTCGAAGGCAGACGAACCCGAAACTCTCTCTTTCTTCCAGTTGGCTTGCCTCTTTATATGTGACGTATCTGTTTTTCTAGTACGAACATACTGACATACTTTCAAAGTACAATTTCACTCTTCCGAGAGTAAACAGTTAACTTTTTCATTGATTGTTTTCCAAGGTCCACAACAAGACTCCATTGTTTATCACCTCACTATCAACCACTCTGCAGCTTTTTGTAAACTACAGAGTCTTGTTTCTAAAATAAATTGTAAATCAAAACATTCTTTATTTTAACTTTGATTCTCACAGTGTCAGAATCCATTTCTTTTTCTAAAAGTTCCAATTATCTTTGTCCCAGTAATTTTCTATTAGCAATCTGATATCCTTTGTACACTTACAAAAAGATTGTATTTCATGTTCTAAATTAAATTTCTGTAATGTTCACATTTCAAAGTCTTTACAGCATTTTTGACATCTTGATTATTTGAAAACACCTCTCTTCACTTGG